ACAGTGGTTTGGACATGTCCAGAGGAGGGACAGTGGTTTGGACATGTATGAGGCCCATTGAACAGTGTGTTCAAACAGGCTTTGACGGCACCTGAGGTGAAATGCAGTGATTTTTCTTTCAGAATAAGAGTCCCCTACATGGTATCAAGTGGCTGAGGGTGGTACTGGATGAAGGACACATCATAAGAAATCCAAACGCACAGATGAGCAAAGCCGTGCTTGAACTGAAAGCTCAGCGGCGCTGGATTCTTTCAGGTACCCCAGCACCTTTAAAAAACGTTTAGTGTTCTTTGTGTGCACAGGATAGAAAATCACAAGAGGAATACATTTTTGAGTGGAAATACAGTGCAGAGTGCAGGTTGACTCCAATTGTTCACATACAATTAAAACAATCAGAACAGTAGCTAAAATCAACAAAACAGTAACTAATGGCTAAAGTCAGCAAAACCAGTGCTTAAATCTAAAATCAGAAAATCTATTGCTCATAGTCAAAAAAAGTCCATGCTCAATAATCCAGGTATACAATCCAGCAATTTTCAGTCAGGTCATCTGGACAGTTTCTTTTTTTGCTGAAACGATTCACAAAACTGAAATTAACCAAATTAAAGCTATAACAGTTCATACAAATTAAAAGTAGGCGAAAAAAGTTCAAATTAATTAAACAGTATCTAAATGCTAAAATAACAACATATGTAAAATCTTTGCAAAACATCCTGATGTCCTGATTCATGCTCAGTAATCCAGCAAAGTTCAGTCAGGTCCTCTGGACGGTTTCTTTATGTTGAAAATATCCTTAAAGTTAAGGACCTGTGTTACGACCCGGCTCAGCTAGGAGAAGAGGAGGCAACATTAGAAACCCAGATGGAACAAGTTTGAATAAAAGTAATAATTTAGGGCGGACTCCAGAAACCATCTGAGCACCATCAAATAGTTGACCCACTATGTGATGGTGCTGTTTATAAGAATGAGTTTGTTGTGGCTCCTTGGACTGATGAAGTCTTCTGGATGAAAGATGAAACGTTTCAACAAAAAGACACCGTCCAGAAGATCTGACCGAACTTTGTTGGATTTTGCACAACAGTTGCGAAAAGCTCAATGTAGAAATAAACCAGTAGCTAAAATGAACAAAATGGTGTCTAAGAGCTATAAATAGCAAAACAGCAGCTAAAAACTAGAGTTGCCAAAACAGAATCTTCACGCCATGATTCGCAAACAAAATGTAAAGGAGCATAAAAACCAAAAACTGGGCAACAGTTAAAGACGAGAGCTGGCTGCGGGCTACTGGACCCGGAAACCCCCTCCAGCCCATGTCTTTCCCCCCGGCTCGAACCTCTCTCAGAAGTGACAACTCACAATATCAATAAATCAAGGAGACGTCAATTAAGTTTTATCAATTCTATTAAAATCAAGGCAGGAAAAGGTTACGTTACAGCGCTGGACTCTCCGCTCTGTGGCGCGTTCACAGACCCGGAAGAAGAGCCCCGATGTCTCGTGTCATTACTCATTTATAGGGTCCTGGACTCCTCCTTCACAGAAGGGGAGCTCAACCTGTCCGTGTATGAGGGGGCGTGGCTAAGTGTGATCTCAGTGGATCTTATGTGGTTCTGATGTGTTGGGAAATATGAGACGGTGCTTCAAAAGCCTTTCTATGTGATGTGGCAGATTAAACTTTATTCCTTGACTGATATTGAAATCCCAGGGAGACTCTCTTAGAGCTGCTGGCCCAGTTTAACCCAGTCAGAACCGGGTCATAGTTTCATTATAATCCCGTCTCTGAGCAGATCAAAACCCCAGGACCAGTCTAGATAAAATATCCAACACGATGTGGAGGTACGTTTCAGATTTTTTTTAATTAAAAAAGTTGTATTTCTAACAACATTTCTGTAAATAAAGTTTAACAATGCAAAACATGTAAAAGTTACAAATACAAATGTTGTAGCACTCTATTCCTGATTGAGTTTAATGTTTTGATACATGTTTTGGCAAAACAGCACAAAATATGTGGAAATAGTTTGGTTGCAAAAACTGTACAAAAGAAACCATGAACAAAAAGTAAAGTGAATGCTGACTCAGCATTTATGATTTTTCCTGTTAATCCAAAGAGAGAAAAGCAAAAGCAGAAGGAAAGTTTTGTGCTTTCTGTCTCCATTCGATACTAGTTACAGATATTTTATAAACAACATGAACATCCAGTAGAAATGCAGTTTCAAGGTGACGCATGCGGTAAGTCAAAGTCACTTTATTGTCAAAAGCTGCAACATGTACAGGACATACACAGGATTGAAATTACATTTCTCTCAGACCCCAGTGCAGCAATAACCATTTAACATTAAAACATTTATTAAACATAAGCATAAAATGAAATAATAAAAGCATGATACTGTCTTTAATTGTACTATATGGTCTAAAAATATTTTAAAAAGTATATCTATAGAATAAAATGAAACGAAGGTCCTGACAGTGATATTTGTAGTGAGTGGCAAAGCAGCATATGAAGTGATTGTACACGGTGTATGTATGAAGTCCTTGATATCGGTGTACGTAAAGTGACATGTGCAATAAGACTAGTAAAAAAAATATATTTGTATATCAGCGGTAGTGTAATATAAGCAGCAGTGTGAGTATAAACAGTAGTGCAAATGCAAACAGTAGTATGAGTATGGTTGCTGGCTCTTTCAGGTACTCCTATCCAGAACAGCATGAAGGACCTGTGGATGCTGCTGGCTTTCCTGCGTCTGAAACCCTTCGATGTTCGGGAGTGGTGGAACAGAGTGATCCAGAGACCTGTCATGCAAGGAGACAGAGACGGCCTGCAGTGAGCATTCATTCACAGACTCACGGCTGTTCTGCTGCACAGCTCTTACAAAATGAGTCCTCGTGACTCCGTGAGACGAACCTGAATAAATAAAGGTTGGATGGCTGCACCACCTCTAAAGTACTCCAGAGGGCGCCATGTACGCTAACACACTGTCCATCCATTCATCATCTTTACCCGCTTATTCCATTTTGGGTCACGGGGTCGCTGGTGCCCATGTCCAGCAATCACTGTGTGAGGGGCGGGGGACACCCTGGACAGGTCTCCAGTCCATCACAGGGACACATAGAGACAGACAACCATTCACGCTCTCACTCACACCTAGGGACAATTTAGAGTTACCAATCAGTCTAACATGCATGTTTTTGGTCTGTGGGAGGAAACCGGAGTACCCGGAGAAAACCCACGCATGCACGGAGAGAACATGCAAACTCCACCCAGAAAGGGCCCTGGACTGGGGTTTGAACCAGGAACCTGCTCCCTGAGAGGCAGCAGCTCTACCAGTTGCACCACCGTGCTGCGCTAACACACTGTCTCAGAGGGAATTCTGTAATGATCTGTAGTCCTCCAGTGCCTGTTAATGTCACAAGGCTTGAAGGCAGCACATCTCATTGGCGTGATCTGAGCTGGTCTTGTGTGCACGGACTATTTATACTCGGAGAGAAACCACAGGGGGAACTGGTGAAGAAGTCCTCCCACTGCAGCACTTCACACAATCAACACAGCATGTTGTCCATGTTTATTTTCAGTTGACGATGGAGGAGAAACATCTAGTGTTTCTGTTATCCATGTGTAAATTTGTCACCAAGAGACCGTAACCATGCACTGGCCTGCCGACGTGCACTCCCTCCCATCGCTGCCATGGCTGCCTTGGAGAGGGACACGATCTCCCAGTCAGGAGAGCCAGCAGTGCCACCCCACTGTCTCCTGCGTGCACTGAGCTTGTCCAATGTCCTTCCACTAGTTCTTTGACTGTCTTTGTTTTGTTTGACAGTTGTCCTACAAACTACTTCAGCAACTGGAGCTTTTGATCAAACTAAACTTTGATGGGAGAAGTTTTCTCATAAACTGTCACACTTTGTCCAATCTGAGCATGTGATGCTGTGTGCAGAAACCTCCAGAACCTGGTGAGGTGCATCACCCTGAGACGGACCAAGAGCAGCGAGATCAACGGCCGCCGGCTGGTGTCGCTGCCTGAGAAGATGGTGTTTGTGGAGCAGGTGGATCTGAGCCAGCAGGAGAGGGAAGAGTACGAGCTGGCACGTAACGAGGGCAGGCGTACTGTTGGCAGGTGGGTTCGGTGTGTGAAGAGAGCTTGTTAGAGGACTGTTGATGTAGACAGAAGACAAAACGCCTGTGTCCTGCTGTGTTCAGTTGTTATATCCATGTGTGCTCTACAGATACGTAGCTGAAGGCTCTGTCTTGAAGAATTACGCTGATGTTCTTTCCATCCTCATGAGGCTCCGACAGCACTGCTGCCACCCTGACCTGCTGCCAAAAACACCCTCAGATTTAGGTTCAAACACATCTGGGTTACCACATGACAATTTAATCCTGATCCCCAGGAAAGACAGTCATTTTTGTTTTGTGCTAGAAAACCAGTGTACAGTACCAGCTTGCTGTTTTGGATCTGCCCAACAAAGACATATTTCCCTTTCCCATGGTCCCCTCTGGCTTTACGTGCAGGGACAGCGGCGACGCCAGCAGAGCTGCGGCAGCGTCTGATAGAAAAGCTCCGGATGGTGTTGTCCAGCGGCTCTGATGAAGAGTGCTCCGTGTGTCTGGACTCGGTTCGTCTGCCCGTCATCACGCACTGCGCCCACGTTTACTGCCGACCCTGCATCGCCCAAGTCATCAGCACCGAGCAGGTACGCCTCAAACTCCCAGCGTCACTCAAGTTGACGCCACTCATGAGTTATCAGGTGTCAATCAGCAAACACGTTTATCTTTTTTCATATGTTGGGTGGAAAGGAGAGTGCACGGTGTCCTCTCTGTCGAAGTGAGATCAAGACCAGTGAGCTGGTGGAGTTTCCACCAGATGAGATGGAACATGACAAAAGTACGATCTCTGAGAGGTGGAGGACGAGCTCAAAGGTATTCTCTGCATGTACACACGCATGTTACTAAAATAAATAACATGCACTCTGCAGATCATGGAGAGGAATATTATAGAAATATATAATTATACTACTATATTTAGACATTTTTGGATAAGTAGTACTTTAGGGCAGCACGGTGGTACAGCTGTTGTCTCTCAGCGAGAAGGTTACTGGATTGAATCTCAGCCAGGGACCTTTCTGGGTGCAGTTTGCATGTTCTCTCCGTGCATGTGTGAGTTTCCTCCCACAGACCAACAACATGCATGTTAGGCTGATTGGTAACTCTAAATTGTCCCTAGATGAGAGAGAGAGTGAATGGTTGTTTGTCTCTGTGATGGACTGGAGACCTGTCCAAGGTGTCCGCCACCTCACACAGTGACTGCTGGGCATGTGCACCAGTGACCATCGCAACCTGAAAAGGAAGCGGGTTAGGATGGGGGAGTGGTGGCGCAGAGGTTAGATCTGTAATCTAAGGGTCACCAGTTCAACTCCCTGCACCGACAACATCAAAATGTGGGTGGAAAAGGTGAAACACCCACACCTGGCTCCACCCTCATTTGCCCCACTCTGGACCCATGAGCAAGACCCTTAACCCTACAGCTGCTCCCCAAGTGCCTTAGATGGCAGCCAACTGCTCCACATGTGTGCGCTCATGTGCAATGGGAAAAATATTCTTCTTTTCCCAGTTCAGGAGTCGCCACAGCGAGTCTTCTTCCTCCATCTCACTCTGTCCTCATTCCAACTACCTCCATGTCCTCTGTAACTGCATCCATATGTCTCCTTTTTTGTCTTTTTCCTGGCAGCTGCATTTCTAACATCCTTCTACCAGTATACCCACTGTCCCTCCTCTGGACATGTCCAAACCACTGTCCCTCCTCTGGACATGTCCAAACCGTTGTCCCTCCTCTGGACATGTCCAAACCACTGTCCCTCCTCTGGACATGTCCAAACCGTTGTTCCTCCTCTGGACATGTCCAAACCACTGTCCCTCCTCTGGACATGTCCAAACCACTGTCCCTCCTCTGGACATGTCCAAACCACTGTCCCTCCTATGGACATGTCCAAACCACTGTCCCTCCTATGGACATGTCCAAACCACTGTTCCTCCTCTGGACATGTCCAAACCACTGTCCCTCCTCTGGACATGTCCAAACCACTGTCCCTCCTCTGGACATGTCCAAACCACTGTCCCTCCTATGGACATGTCCAAACCACTGTCCCTCCTATGGACATGTCCAAACCACTGTTCCTCCTCTGGACATGTCCAAACCACTGTCCCTCCTCTGGACATGTCCAAACCACTGTCCCTCCTATGGACATGTCCAAACTACTGTCCCTCCTCTGGACATGTCCAAACCACTGTCCCTCCTCTGGACATGTCCAAACCACTGTCCCTCCACTGGACATATCCAAACCACTGTCCCTTCTCTGGACACGTCCAAACCACTGTCCCTCCTATGGACACGTCCAAACCACTGTCCCTCCTATGGACACGTCCAAACCACTGCCCCTCCTCTGGACACGTCCAATCCACTGTCCCTCCTCTGGACACATCCAAACCACTGTCCCTCCTATGGACACGTCCAAACCACTGTCCCTCCTCTGGACATGTCCAGACCAGGTTTTGGTCGGAGGCCGAGTTCACTACAGTCCCCCCTTTGGAAATCATCGCCTGTCCATGGGGATGAATTCCAACATGATCTTACGCCTCCGAATGTCCTTGAGCTTGATGTAATCCAGCAAGAGGAAAACAAAAGTCAAAGAAGGTAATCCCACAATGGTTTAGGTAATTCCACAATGTTGTTGGTAATTCCATAACGTTGTTGGTAATCCAAAGTCTGTAATCCATTGGTAGTCCAAAGTCTGTAATCCATTGGAAAAAGTCATATAATCCACAACGATAAATCCACAACGATTGGAAGTGTTGATTGATCAGCATGCAGAGGGGTACCCTTGGATTGAACTGCAGAGGCGACCACTGGATGGAGATTGGAGACCCACGTTGGAGTTGTAGGTCCCTTCAGTGAAGGTTGCTGTTGGTGGTTCCCAGTGTGTGCCATTCTGGTTCTATGTGTTATGCATTTATGTGGTTTTAGTTGGGCTTATGAGTGAGATTTTACATAAGACCTTAACCTATATGCACCTGGTGTGTAAGCTATCATGGTTTAGATCAGCTAAAGTTACCAGTTTAAAGGGTGGGTCATGCTGAAAAATTTTCATATAGGGATTTATACCTATAGAAGGGCATTCCAAACTATTTTTCCATCCCTAACTTGGTTTAAGTTAGATTTACATGGCAAAATATAGTTTGGTTCAATTGTCTGTTGTCCTTTTAGACGAACGACTTGAGGTTTGGTTTTTCCCTAAATGTTTTTGGAGTCTATGGCGAGACTCAACTGAAGGATTAGCTAGCCCCCCCCAAATAGGATTGTTCGAGTAGGTTCGGCTTGAGCGTTATGAGACCAATGTAGATTATGGTACTTAAGGTAGCATTAATCTACATTGACTCCTCAAAGATTGAATTTTAACAAATGAACTGCATGTTGGCATAGTTAAAGTCCTCTTAGTCTCTAACTAAAGTACACACAAAATTCATTCTTGCTGGGGGTGTTCAGAAACAATACCAAAAACCAATTAAACAATGTCTCAACATAGACAAAAGTAGTGATTAAGCAACTAGGAAACGACATCTCGGTGTGTCACTCACTCTGAATGTCAGATTTGATCACGTTATCGCGTCTGGTAACATCACCCTAACTAACGTCACCCCCCTGTGGTCATGGGGGACCACGAACATGGGTGAGGACGTCGCTCCATGAGCAAAAGTTAGGATGCCCTTGAGTAGTTTTAGCTGTTTGCACAGCTGAAAGAGGACTTTAAGGTCTGGATTGAAATCCAGGTCGGCTTCGGGCGGAGTGTTTTTCTCTTGGTCAGTCAAAGACAGCATCATTGAGTTTATTGCAGGATCCAACTTCAGGAGTTGGATGATGTCTGAGTCAGTCAGCACGTGTTGTACAGAGACTGTGTCGTCAGCCGACTTGGCTGTAGCCTGTGCACGTGTGACTGCCATTACCTCGGCTGTAGGTTGTACTGACAGAGTTGCGAGCAGCCCGGAGGGGTCAGAGGACCTCTGAGGGCTGTCCACAGCTCCGTCCTTGATAGCTGGTTTATCTATCCCCGGCGACAGTACAGCATCTTTGGTGTGGGATCCTTGGATCTCTACACCTTTAACTACCAATGGCAGGTAGTATCCGGTGGGCCCTGACTGTCTCAGCTCGCAGAGGAGGCTTTCTTGTTCTCACCACAGATCACAATGTCATCTGCAAACACCATAGTCCATGGGGATTTCTGCCTGACCTCATCTGTTAGTCGGTCCATCACCAGAGCAAACAAGAAGGGGCTCAGAGCTGATCCTTGATGCACTCCCACCTCCACCTTGAAGCTCTCTGTCACTCCTACAGCACATCTCACCTCTGTCCTGCTGTCCTCAGACATGTCCTGTACCAGTCTAACATACTTCTCTGCCACTCCAGATTTCCTCATGTAACACCACACCTCCTCCCTCAGCACCCTGTCAGATGCTTTTTTCTAAATCCACAAAGACACAATGGAGTTCTTTCTGTGCGATGGGAAAAATGCAGAGAATTAATTTCCTCATTTCAAAATAAAATTAAAAAGATGATGGATGGATACAGTTGCACTTTCTAAATCTTTTTTTTTTGGGGGGGGGGGGGGGGCGTGCTGTTAATCATCTGCATCTCAAACCATTTTTACAAAATGAGCATGAATATTTTAATTTGCGTCTAATTTATGAAACTGATTTTATTAATAAAGCTATTTATTGTACAACTTTAACTAGGATGAACATCAAAAAGGTTCTTTAAGGGTATAGGGTCTGTCTTTTGCTCTTAGTTCATCAATTCTAACCTGGACAGATTATTAATAATTCATAACACCTCCCACCATATTTGTGCTGACAACTTTCCTTCAAGGACTCAAAGAGTTCTTCAGACCATCAGGAGGAGTTCAGGGCCTGTCGCTCTCAAGTCTGCCTGTGTTTCTGCAGGTGAAGGCTCTGATGGGGAACCTGCTCAGACTACGGTCTGAAGACGGCAACATTAAATCTCTGGTGGTCTCCCAGTTTACACGCTTCCTCACCATTCTGGAGACTCCGCTGAGGTAAGGCACACCAGTCACATCGTTTGGCTCTGGACTTCTGTTTGCAGCGTTTTCTATATTTGGTCTTTTATTAGAATGGCATTTTCTTTCATGTATTTTGTTTTGCTTACACAAACTGCACAAAATGTCTCTTGTAATAAAATATAGGTCTTAAAAGACTAATTGAAGTTAATGACAATAACTTTTTACTGCAGACTGTCTCTCTCAGATGAAGGCTACAGATATCACCACAGAACATGTGGTGTAATTCTCAGTTTTTAAATTGTGTGACTCGTGCTCGTCCTCCTTGTTTTTGACAGAGAGCACGGTTTCAGTTTTGTGCGTTTTGATGGCTCCATGAACCAAAAGAAGAGAACTCAGATCATTCAGGAGTTTCAGAGCTCTGCAGCAGGTGGTCCTACCATCATGCTCCTGTCTCTCAGAGCTGGTGGGGTTGGGCTGAACTTGACCGCTGCTTCTCATGTTTTCCTCATGGACCCTGTAAGTTCAACCCGAGCACGTTCACATGTACAGTCACCACATACAAATGTTTAAGGTTTGCCATCAACCAACTTCATTTTCTTGTGTTGTAGCTGTTGATAGCTTTTGAAATGAAAGCAGCAACGTTCTTACACAAACACCAGACGTTATCAAAAAAACATTTTTATTTCTGAGGAAAAGAGCAAAATGTACAAAATGAACTGGTGTTTCTTTTGGCTAAAATGATGCAGAAAATAATTGTCTCTTTTGAAAAGTCCAGTATAATTTTTAGATAAAAAAATCAGATTTTTGTGTCTGTCAGTCTTCATCAGAGGATTGTTCAAAGTAAGAAGCAAACCATGCAACGTCTTTTCTGTCAAGTTTTCACCTGACTGTTCTTGTGTGTGTGTGTGAGGCATGGAACCCAGCTACTGAGGAGCAGTGTGTTGATCGGTGCCACCGCTTGGGCCAGAACAGAAAAGTTGTGGTCACCAAGGTCAGAACCACACCACATCTGTTACAGTATAATAAAACCACACATTGTGTATTTCTACTGCAGTATTATCACTTCCAAAGGAGTCTTTGGGATTCTACGTAGAAATTTTGATAATAAACATTTTTTGTTTGTTTGATGAAATAGATTTCACCTTCTGTCTTCAATGCCAGTGTTTTAAACAAATATCTTGTGTGATGTGTTAGCTCTACTGACATATAACATGTATACAGCTAACATGTATAACATGTATACAGCTAACAT